ATAGCCTCGACTTGGTTCAATGGTGACGTCACATGTTGCTACAGGGTGTTGAGCAAGGAATTGTTTGTCCCGGGTAAACTGTTTGCATAGTGGCGGCAGTCGTAATGGAAGATGCTGGAAGTATGGACGTGCAATCGAAACGATCCAAACGCAGAAGTGCATTCACTGATTCGGAAAAGAAAAGAAAACGGCAACGTTTCCAAAGGTTGTATCAGGTATCAAGAGTAAATATTCAAGAGTAAGAGCAAGCGAAAAACGCACACGGGCCGTAGAAATCTTTGCTACACCCGCTGGACGGTTGCCTGGCAGAGCAACGCAAACGTGTCAACAACATCGGAGAATTTGAACAACAGTGGAGGTATTTTCAAATACCTTTTATAAGACAACGCGCAGTGAAATGGGAGGAACTAGAGTTTATTTTTTCATAAGGTATAGTGTGATTATGCATGCCACGAAGTATTTGCTAGTCTAGTACTGGAGAAATTAGCGTTTGGATGCGCATTGTGAGGCTTTAATGTTATACCGCCTGACATACATATACTTCACAACGGTATGTTTCAGAGAATAGGTAGAAAATATAGGACTAAACACACGAACGTAAAAAAACACCTGATTTATTTAATAGTAATCTACATAAATGCTGCGTCCGTGTGATGCGGCCTGAGCTGCAACAGTCCATACGTGTCCACCGGTACATTTCAGATCTCCATCAGTTTGTCTGCATCAACAACTACCTCATAGGCGAGTTTTGCTAAAAAAAGAGAGAAACAGAAAGAGTACTAACTGAGTAAAATATAAATAGATAACCTTCCATTCGAATAGCGTCTAAAAAACGGCGAAGTTGGGCGACAGTTTTTGTAGTCTATTTGTGATTATAAAACAACAGTCCACAATCTATTATCCGAAACCCTTGGGACCAGACGTTTCGGAATTCGGAATTTTTTTGATTTCGGAATGGTAGTACAGTACAGATATACATATCGTATATCCTGCAACTAGCCAGTACTAAAACTCAAGTTTTCAAGAGGTCAAGTGTTGTACCGGTACAGTACAATATGTATGAGTAATGCCAAACACATTAATATTTCTGCAGTGAACCTTGTGCAGCCAAACGCGAGCTTTGGTGTGCAGACGACCTCCACGAAAAGGTTTTCGGAGCTTTTCGGTTTTCAGAGTTTCGGTAGATAGTAGATTGTGTACTGTATTAGCATTCCCCACGTCACTTACCCATGGCACTGACGTTTTGCGATGCACCGACTAGGCAATCCTTCAGTTCTGCTCTCTCAGCTATGTGGGCGCTGGGTCCGATGATACAGTTATGAAGATTACACCTAAAATTATCGGATGTGCAAAAGTCACAACAAAGAATCGCTAACATGTTTCATATATATAGCGATGCATAAACGAGAGATAAAGAGAGAGGAGAGAGAAAGAGACAGAGAGAGAGAGAAAGACAGAGATAGGGAGAGAGAGAGAGACAGAGATAGGGAGAGAGACAGAGATAGGGAGAGAGAGTAGGAGAAAAAAAGAGAGAGAGAGAGAGCGAGAGAGA